TGGGATGTTCCCCCTTATACTAACAGTCCTTAGTAGGGACTATAGTACCCCCGATTAGAATCTTTATTACGGACTGTTAACATAAGGGGGCACATCCCGATTTAGAGTTTGAGTCTTGCGTTTTGGAATTGTCAATAGGGCCAACTGGTCATTCAGAAAGAACCCGAACAACTCCGAAAGTCCAAATTCAAAGAAACCCAAGGCCCAAGCCCTGTACCGTAAACCCCTCTACCAAAGCGTAAGGCCCCACATCCCCCTAACGCCGTAAACCCGGAAACAAAAAGCCCTATACCTAAAACCCCCAACCCTAAACCCTCAACCCTCAACCCTAAACCACTATAATAACTTCCCAAAACCCTACTCTAACTATTCTAAGGCGCCTATCGTATACACTTAACCCTAACCCGTTGAAAACCCCCCCGATGCCCTTCTTCTTAGGGTTTCTCGGGCTCTTCGGGTTCCAGCAGGATCGGCGCGCAGGCGCGTCATCATGAAGCTCCTGGTCTCACTTGGCCGGGGGCGGGAAGGGGGGGGGGGGGGGGGGGATGAGGGCTTGGGGTTTAGTGGTTTTTTCTTATGATTATGTTTTTTGTTGTTTTTTTGGTTTTTTATTTGTTAGTTTTTGTGTTTCTTTTTTTTGTTTGGGCGGGGGGATCCCCTGATTATAATCCCTTATGACTTCATATTGAAAGCCCTAAAGATCTTTCAACCCTCATCGGACCTCCCAAAAGGATCCGCGGAGTCACGATCTTCCCGGCGTTGCGAGTGTGGCTCACCCTAAGCCCTAAGCTTGGGATGTTCCCCCTTTACTACCAGTCCTCAATATGGATTATAGTAGGGGGTACTACAATCCCTATGAAGGACTGTCGTATAAGGGGGAACATCCCAACCCTAAATCCTAAACCCTATCCCCGGGAGCGCTGGGAGTTTTTTTTTTTTTTTTTTTTTTTTGGGGGGGGGGGGTTTAGGGTTTAGGGTTTAGGGTTTTGGTTTTTGGGTGAGGTGGACTCGGAGCATGGGCATGAGCTCGGTACGGCAAACAATTCCGGAGCCTCGAAAGTATAAGAAGACCCCCAGAACCCGAAGAACCTGTACAAAACCTTGAGAAGCCCTCAAAAAGCCTTTAGGGTGCTTGCTACCACCAGCAGAAGGTTTCTGACCATTTACATCCCCCCAACATGAGGATCAACTAGGCCTTTGGTTTGGCCATCATCCTGTGCGCTCGTGGGGGGGTTTGTGGGGGGTGCGGAGGGGGGGGGGGGGGGGGGGTCAGGGTTTATAGCTTAGGGCTTCGGGTTTAGGGTTTAGGGTTTAGGGTTTAGGGTTTGGGAGCGGGCGGGGGGCTCCACTGAAACACAGAGCCGAAACCTTCTAAGGCAGACGTACGCCGGTTGTGAATCTTGGAATCGCATTTTTAAAGAAAGTCGATTGGTAGTGGCGAGTTAGGCAAGTCTTAAGGTATAGGGCATCGCATTTCCAGATACCCTACTCAGAAGCTCTAAGTTTCAGTTGTGCATTGGAAGGAAAATGACCATAACCCCGAAACCCTAGACCCTAAACCCTACCACCATGTTGTTGAGGTACAGGGCTTTCTCCAAACGTGGTTGTTCGGCTTGTGGGACATTTGTATGCATCGACATCCCCATAGCTGCTCAACCTTTATGGGGTTCACGAAAATAGGGGACCCCAAAATAGACCCCAACTAGTAAGTTCCCCTTATAACAAGGACCAGAATAAGGTACCCCAACCCCCCCCAATTTCGGAAACCCTTATGTCCAGTGAAGACGTGAAGACTCGCCCTGCTAGAAATCAGCTGTCCATGGGTTCAGGGGAGGGGAGGATTTACGGTTTAGGGTTTCGGGATTCGGGTGGGAGCATTGCAAGTAGGGTGGGGTAGTAGCGGAAGTAGTGGAGGACGGAGGGAGTCGCAGAAGTTTTCATGAAAGGGATCCTGTAAACACAAGAGCTGAAGCCGTCGGAAACATGCTGTCTTTGGGTTTTGGAGGTCTTCACTGGAGCCTAAGCCCTGATCCCCCGTCCTCCAAATCCAAAATGCACCATCCAGACTTGGCCCCTAAACCCGATTTGAACCCAAGAAACGCCACGTGGTCGGCTGCCTGAGGCATGATCCCACTTGGGGGGAGCCTAAGTTAGGTGGGCCCTCGACATTTGTTCTATCTTCCCTTTCTTTCTCGGGAGAGCCAGGACCCCATTTCTTGGAAACCATGTTTCAGGTTGAAAGTGGAAAGGGACCAACCCTAACTCAGCGAGCTGTCCATGTGTGAAATCGAGCGTCACAAGGCCCCCACCTTAGCCCTCCAGCTAAACCTAAGAAGCCCAAACATTGTTTACAACCTATGGAGACAGGCTTGAATTTTTTTGAACCTAGCTCCGAAGCCGAAGCCTAAACTCGGCCCTTAAAACTGAGCGCTGCGCCTTAGCGCGACTACGCAATCAAAGGACATCGGGGTCTCCCTAAACCCTAAACCCTAAACAACCCTAAACCCTAAACCCTAAACCAGGTCTCTGAATTAACTTGGCAGCCTGGACCTGAGTCAGCCTCGACGCCTACACCCTTCACAAGCCAAGCCCGTTTAAGCCGGTTCACCCCTGTCCACCCCCGTCAACCCTTAACGCTAAGCCGTCCTAAGCCTTTAAAACCCCAACCCTCAACCCTAAACCCTAAACCCTAAACCCTAAACCCTAAATCCTAAAAACCCTAAACCCTAAACCCTAAACCACCCTAAACCCTAAACCCTAAACCACCCTAAACCCTAAACCCTAAACCCTAAACCCTAAACCACCTAAACCCCAAACCCTAAATCCTAAACCGTCTGAAGCCGCACCCGAAGCCCTTCAAACCCAAGCCGAACACCCAAAGCCAAATGACCCAACATCATGTCAGCACCGCCCGCCTTTGAGCAAGGAAGTCACGCCACCTGCACCCCGTGTGCATGTCGGGGGGCCCTGCTAGCACCCCACCCTTGGGTTTAGGGTTTAGGGTCTGGGGTTTAGGGTTGAGGGTTAAGGGTTTAGGGTTTCGGGTTCAGGGTTTAGAGTTTGGCTCAGCTTGAACTTCTCGCCAGGTGCCAAAGTCTTTAAACATGCCGGCACAGCTTGGTGGAGGGTTGAGGGTCTGGGAGGGTGCGGGATTCACAGCACCTTCAGCGTTGCTCGGGCAGAGGGTTTATGGGGGTTAGGAGACGCTTTGGGGAATTCTAGGGATCGAGGGTTGAGAGGAACACCATCTGGTTTCAGAGCTTGAGATTCATGGAAGCCTACACTAAAACCGACCGAAAAAGCCCAAACTCTAGCTTGGTAGCTCAGTGGTACCCTTGTCCCTTTTTTGGATTCAAGGCTCTCTTATAAAGTGACCAGCCCAAAGTTTCTGGGGTTTAGGGTTTAGGGTTTAGGGTTTAGGGTTTAGGGTTTAGGGTTTAGGGTTTAGGGTTTAGGGTTTAGGGTTTAGGGTTTAGGGTTTAGGGTTTAGGGTTTAGGGGGCTACCAAGCCAGAAACAGCCCTTGGGAACAAGAGCTCGAGAGTCCAAGCAGCGCAGGGAACATCGTCTTTTCGAGGTTTGAACGGGCTTAGTGTTCGAAAGGGTTTAGGGTTTAGGGTTTAGGGTTTAGGGTTTAGGGTTTAGGGTTTAGGGTTTAGGGTTTAGGGTTTAGGGTTTAGGGTTTCAGGTTTAGGGTTTAGGGTTTAGGGTTTAGGGTTTCGTGGGATCGGGGTTTTGTAGGCGTGCATGGTTCATGGATTAAGGGCGGTGTCGACCTGCACTGGCGCACATGCCAGACGGAATGTAGAAACACACTCAAGGCTACCTTTCCGCATTCCCTCTCGCAAACCAGAAACCTGCAATCCTAAACCACTAAACCCCCAAACCCTAAACCCTGAGATCCCAAACCCTAAGCCCCTAAACCCTGAACCCTGAAATCCTAAACTCTAAACCCCTAAGCCCTAAACCCTGAAATCCACAACCCTCACCCCTGCCTTTACACCTGACATGAACCCATGGAGACTGAGCCCTTCGCTGTTTGAGGTGCCATGCAAAAAGCGAAACCCTCAGACCCAAAGACCCTAAACTCCTAAGACCCTGAAACCCTAAACGCCTAAGGCCCTAAGACTAAGACCCTAAACCCTAAACCCTAAACCCTAAACCCCCCCCCTCAACCGTGAACCCTCATCTTCCAAGAGCCTGGAAGTTCGAAGCCATGAGGCCGAGTATCGCGCGGGCGTGACCGGCTCAGTGGCGTGCTGCGGGCTCCGGATGTTCTTCGGGCTCTTTTGGGGGTCTCTGTTGGCCTATCTAAGGGGTCTCTGAGGGCGCTGTGGGGTGTTTGGGGTCTGAGGGTCTGATGGGGATTTGGGTTTTTTTTTGGGACAGTGGGGGGTTTTAGGGCCCGGGTTAGGGTGTCAGGGATATGTCGGGATATGTTGTGATTATCGGGTTATTGTTTATGGAGGGTCAGGGTTTGTTTAGGCCGAGCCGAAGAGAAGGAAGAAGAGGGAGATGACGACGGAACACGAGAGGGGGGACGGAGAAACAGACTGAAGCCTTGAGTTGTCCTTCGCCCACCCTCAAATAAGCCAGAGAAGGGTGGAAAACCCCCCCCAAAGGACCCCCCAAGCCCTGAAACCCCCAAGCCTCTGAACCCTAAACCCCCCCAAAAAATCTCCCCAAACCCCTAAAAGCCCCTGAACCCCAAACCCTAGTGTTGATCCCCTCAATCTCCTCCTCCTCCTCCTCCTCAATCTCCTCCTCCTCCTCCTCCTCCTCCTCCTCCTCCTCCTCCTCAATATCCTCTCTCTTCGGCTGAAAGATGTTGAAAGGCTACTGAACCTCCAAACCTTGGGATGTTCCCTCTGACACGAACAGTCCTTAATAGGGCTTCTAATCGAGGGTGCTATCATCCCATTAAGTACTGTTCGTCTAACCCAAGAGCCGACCTTGTCTCAGCCTTTTCCAGAGAGCCGAGGGCTCAAGGAAACAGACGCCATGGACGCTGCAGCGAAGGCCAGGGCCTTCTACGAGAAGGCTCGCTTGCGGATGTTCTTCCACGCCGAGAACGGCGACCAGTTTAGGGTTTAGGGTTTAGGGTTTAGGGGGTTTAGGGGGTTTAGGGGGTTTAGGGGGTTTAGGGGGTTTAGGGGGTTTAGGGGGTTTAGGGGGTTTAGGGGGTTTAGGGTGTTTAGGGTGTTTAGGGTGTTTAGGGGGTTTAGGGTTTAGGGTTTACGGTTTAGGGTTGAATGCCCTTCTTGGGTTTAGGGCCTTAAGGGGGGGGTGTTTGTTGTTTATTTTATGGGGAGGGGGATGATGTTGGGCTTCAAAAGAGGCCTCAGCCCAGGTGAGACAAAGGAGTTCGAGATGTGGCTGGACGTCTTGGAGAACCCCAACGTCAAAGACGACAATGGGCGGACCTGCCTGCACATCGCGGCTCTCATGGGCCACGTGGACATCGCCAAGCTGCTGCTGGACACCCGGGACTGCAACCCAAACGCCATCGACGACCACGGAAGGACCCCGCTGCGCGTGGCCCTCGCCGACTCCGCCAAGGACTCCACCAGAACCGGGAGGCTCGAAATCGCGGAGCTGCTCCGGGAGCACAGGGGGACCGACGCCACCTCCTACACCAGGGTCTACCCTACTGGCCCGGTCTGATTCACCAGATGACGTAACACCGACCCTCTAGAGTGCCTCTCGTGGCCTCTTTGACGCCTAAGGCGTCATATTGCCATGCTTTCACCCTTCTCAAACAGCCCCAGAGTCGGAAGCCTCAAGCCTTTCCATGACCGCCCAACCCTCCAAGACAACTCCAACTTGAAGCCCTAACTAAACCCCTATCAAACCTCCCTACACCCCCCCTAAGCCTTAAGCCCAAAACGCTTCAATAACCCCCTAAAACCCTAGAATACTCCCGCCTTGGGCTTCCGTGTCCGGCTTGAGCAAGGAGACCGCGAGCCTCGAGAAAACGCGCGCGCCAAGCATGCTAAGCCTCCGAAACCCATCATGACCTTTTCAGGCTGAAAGGGGCTCGGGTCTTTAGGGTGAAAGAGCCCGAAACCCTAAATCCTGACCCCCTCCTAGGGTTATGAGCTTCCCAGAGACCAATCGTCCTCTCTGACGCACGAAGCGCTTCCTGAACGCACAGACTCGGGACCCCAACGCATCAGGCGGGTGCAGGGCTAGGCTTCCGCCAAGCCTGTAGCCACATCTTCTGAGCTGCCGAGCTGTGGGGGCCTAGCCCTTCCCCCCCCCCCAAAAAAAAAATATATATATATATATGTATATATATGTATATATATATATATATACATATAGGAAAAAGATACACAACGAAGGTGGGCCCTGAAACTCCGACACTCTTAAACCCCTAAATCCGCACAGGAACTTACACACCCAGCCTCCTCAAAACGACCCCATGAGTCCAAAAGTCCTCTTGGGTGCCCTGAGATCGCACTAGGAAGCTCATGGGTACTTCTAACCACAGTATACCACAGTTGTACGTCTACTTATAGCCTACTTAGGGGGCTTAGGGGGCTTATAAGTAGAGGTATAATAAGTCTACTTATAACCTACTTCGGGGACTTGGGGGGCTTAAAAGTAGAGTTATAATTAGGGTCACAAGTACCATGAAGCTCCAAGCAGTCCAAGGTGAAGGAGACGACGGTCGTCACCACCAAGCAGGCCTCCCGTTGTGGTTTCGGAGTTGTTTGGGGGGGTGTAGGTCTCAGGCCCAGGGCTTCGGGTTTAGGGCTTAAGGGTATTAAGGGATAAGAAGTGAGCTCGGTGTCCTGGGACCCAACGGAACTATTTATACTAGGGTTCTACCAAAGTACTACCCTCGGCACGACCCAACCAGCAGCTGCCCTTGAAACCTGGGCTTGGGGCTTCAAGGGTCTAGGGTTTAGGGTTTAGGGTTTAGGGTTTAGGGTTTAGGGTTTAGGGTTTAAGGTTTAAGGTTTAAGGTTTAAGGTTTAGGGTTAAAAGAGAGAAGCAGGAAGCGGATCACGTCTTGAAGATCCTCATGCAGCACAAGGACCGCCGAGAGTACGCGGAATTCTTGGGTCGGTTTCAAGGGTTTAGGGTTTCGGGTTTCGGGTTTCGAGTTTGGGGTTTAGGGTTCCAAGTGCGGGTCTTTCCCAACAGCGGGGGCCGTGCCTGATACATCACCAAAAGATTACAAGCCTTCTCCACTTCGTTGTATCTCGGAATCCCCAGCGAGCCCACACCCCAAAACCCTGAACCACTCTAAGCGCACAAACCTAAAACAACCAGCAGCCTGTTCTTTTCTTGGGCTCCCTCTTAAGCCAAAAAACCCTAAAACCTTAAGCCTGATTTTTGGTTGAGGGTGTTCCCCTGTACTTGAAAACATGACAGGAGGCGTTTTAGGGTTTTGGGGTTGTAGGGTTTTAGGGTTTAGGGTTGTAGGGTTGTAGGGTTGTAGGGTTGCAGGGTTGTAGGGTTGTAGGGTTGTAGGGTTCCCCTCTCCCAATTCCCTGCAAAGAGCAGGGTTTAGGGCTTAGGGTGCTCCGCAAGTCCCATTCGTTTTCGGAGGATTGTTTCCACGCAATTGACACCGAGGCCAGCGTGAGGTTCTAGGCGCTTAGGGGGTTTACAGGTGTTGAGGGTTCAGGGATGTTGCTTTATAGTATAAGGTGAAGGATTTCCAGGGCTCAAGTTTTTCATTGGGTTTAGGGTTTAGGGTCTAGGGTCTAGGGTTTAAGGATTGGATTGCTGTCTCAAGGGCTCCAGGGGAGGTTTTTTTGGCTTCACGCAGTGCTGGTTTTTGTTGGGATGTTCCCGCTTGTATACTAGCAGTCCTCAATAGGGATTATAGTACCCCCTATTGTAACTGTTATCCCAATGCCCCACCGCCGAGCCGCGAATTGAGGAAAAAAGCAACCCTCTGAAAAACCTCCGCCCTCAACCACAAACCCCAAAATTGCAGGGTTTAGGGTGTTGTTGTGTGGGGTTTTTTGTGCGGCGTTTGTTTGGGGTGTGTCTTTTGGATGTTTGTTGGGTGTGTCTTTTTTTGGTCTTTGTTTTAGGATCCTTCCCCATATGCCTTCTTCTGGTCGGTTGTGGGCTGAAGGAAAATTTGTCCCAGCTCCCTGGGTGTGGTAATCCTTCCCCAATGCCTTCTTCCGCACCGAGGCGCCCCCGATACCCGTTTAGGGGCTTAGGGGTTTTGGGGTTTAAGGGGTTAGGGGCTTTGGGGCTTTGGGGTTTTGGGGTTTTTGGGGTTTTGGGGCTTTGGGGTTTTAGGGTTTAGGGGTTTTGGGCTTTAAGGGTTTAGGGTTGAGGGTTTCGGCGACATCCTAAACAACTCCCACAGCCGCCAGGTCCGCGGATGGAACCCCGACTGGACGCCCTATGGCCGGGGCGAGGCAGGTTGCATATATATATATATATCTATCCCTAAACCCTAAACCCTAAACCCTAAACCCCTAAACCCCTAAGCCTTGCAGGATTCCCTTGTTTCCCCCCCTTTTCAGGGTTTAGACTGCTCTATAAGTCCCTTTAAAGGGGCACCCTTTTCATTCTTATCTTACTCTTGGATCTGGTGGAAGGCCATCTGAAAAAAAAAAGATTCAAAGCATCATGTTTCTGAGGGTCTTGGTGGAAGAATGCCACGATAAGAATCAGAGCGGCCAATACAGTCAAAGAAGAATTCGCCGATAAGACCGCAGAAGACAACATGAAAACATCCAGTTTGATGTAGTATCTATTGGCACCTTGGAGCACTACCTGGGGGTTGTTCTCCCTAAACCCTAAACCCTAAACCCTAAACCCTAAACCCTAAACCCTAAACCCTAAACCCTAAACCCTAAACCCTAAACCCGCAAGGGGAGGGTCCCCTTTCCGCTACTGTCTATAGTGAGATCCCGCATCGGAATGACCTCACCTTAACCCCAAGAACGCTCAGATCTACAGAAACCCTGAAAGTCCTGGGCCCTAAAACCCTTAATTCCCCAAACCCTAAACCCTAAAACCCTTTTACATCCCTAAATCCTAAACCCTGAAACCCTTAAATCCCTAAACCGCAAACCCTAAAGCCCTTAAACCCCTAAACCTTGAAGCCCTTAAAATTCCTTGTAATAATTACTGATTATGTTCCCTCATGGCCCCTATATATTTCTACTATAGTAACCCCCAAAACCCTATTGGAATTATTCAGCCCCCGAACCCTGAGGTTAAGAGTATGCCCGCTTAGCTTCAGCCCGGCTTCGCTTTTTCGCTTCTCGTAACTCTGCGGCTCTTTGCGGTTTAGGGTTTAGGGTTTGGGGTTTAGGGTTTAGGGTTTAGGGTTTAGGGTTTAGGGTTTAGGGGTAAGATTAGACCTTAGCTTTTTTGGGGGTGAACAGTGTTCTGCATCAGGTAGGCAAGGCTTAATTTTAACGGTCAGGTGTCAAGATAGCCAAATTAAAAATGGACCGCCGAAAAGGGCTTGTGGGTTATACTTCAGGGACCTGCTTTGGGGCACCCCCCCCCCCCCAAGCGGCTAGACCCTAAGCCTTTAACCTTAAGCCCTGAACCCTAAACCCCTAGAACCCGAAACCCTGAACCCGAGGTCATTTGCTTCAGCATCTTTGTCGGCGAAGATGTGGATTTCGGTTCGGGGGCCCAGCTCCTGGTGGACAACATGGACGAGGTGGGGGGGGCGCCAAACACCCCTGAAATCAGGAGTATTCAGGGATAGCCCCCCTTCGGATTACCCTAAACCCTAAACTGGCCCTAAACCCTAAACCCTAAACCCTAAGCCCTAAACCCTAAACCCTAAACCCTAAACCCTAAACCCTACAAAAGCCCAAGGGAATATGCAAAATACTAAGTTTGATTAAGGACCCCGAAGGCCCGGTACACCCTGAACCAGGACGGCAACCTCCGCGGCCTCGTTGAGCACTTCCGCGGCTACTTCGAGGATCCGGAGATCAAGAAGGCAGTTGGAGGGAGGGCTCCTCCTGGGGTTTAGGCTGTAGGGTCTAGGGTTGAGGGGACGCATGGAATGAACGAAACGCCCCGAATAGCAGGAAAGGTGTGGATGGAATGAACTGAGTTTACTGGTGCTTTTCATGGTTTGGAGGAACGATCGCATGAACTCCACCAATCTTCTGTTCGCTCCCCAATTTCCAGTACAATTTCTGGGTCATTGAGTTCACGTGCTAATTATTTAATAATAAAAGATAAGAGCAATAAGTATGCAAGTACAAGGAGTAAAGTGTGTGAGCAAAGAAACGAACACACGTCCATTCGTGTTCCTACTTTTTTACTTTTTGTAAATGCGTTATAATATGTCGTTCATATGTTCATGAAACTCATTTGTGCGTTTATAAACTTCCTTATGAAACTTAACGCCCGTAATACAGTATTATTTTCACCTTTGGGGTGTAGGCGGTTTAGGGTTTAGAGGGAGTTTCCGGCACCTTACATCCCCCCCTATATATATATCCTACATATATATATATATATGCCCTCTCAGGGATTCTGCAGGCTTTCTTGAGGGCCTTGTGGGCGTGGGCTTCGAGTGGCCTCTCGGGCTTGTTTTGGCTTTGACAAGCCTGCTCCCAACCACCCAAACCCCAAGCCTCTCAACCCTGGGTTTAGGGTTTAGGGTTCCTAAACCCTAAACCCTAAGCCCTAAACCCTAAACCCTAAAC